AGTTAATTTGGTTTCTCGTTGTTAGAGTTACATACTGTACATTATATAGCTTACCTCATCAATTAATTTGGTTTCTCGTTGATAGAGTTATATACTGTACATTATATAGCTTACCTCGTCACTTAATTTGGTTTCTCGTTGTTTAGTAACATACTGTACATTATATAGCTTACCACATCAATTAATTTGGTTTCTCGTTGTTTAGTTTTATACTGTACATTATATAGCTTACCCCATCACTTAATGTGGTTTTTCGTTGTTTCATTTACATACTGTACATTATTTAGCTTACCCCATCCATCAGTTAATTTGGTTTCTCGCTGTTTGAGTTATATACTGTACATTATATAACCTCCCCCATCACTTAATTTGGTTACTCGTTGTTAGAGTTATATATTGTACATTATATAGCTTACCTCATCAATTAATTTGGTTTCTCGTTGTTAGAGTTATATATTGTACATTATATAGCTTACCTCATCAATTAATCTGGTTTCTCGTTGTTAGAGTTATATACGGTACATTATATACCTTACCTCATCAATTAATTTGGTTTCTCGTTGTTAGAGCTATATACTGTACATTATATAGCTTACCTCATCACCTAATTTGGTTACTCGTTGTTAGAGTTATATACTGTACATAAGATAGCTTACCATATCAGCCAATTTGGTTACTCGTTGTTTGAGTTATATTCTGTACATTATATAGCTTACCTCATCAATTAATCTGGTTTCTCGTTGTTAGAGTTATATACGGTACATTATATACCTTACCTCATCAATTAATTTGGTTTCTCGTTGTTAGAATTATATACTGTACATTATATAGCTTACCACATCAATTAATTTGGTCTCTCGTTGTTAGAGTTATATACTGTACATAAGATAGCTTACCATATCAGATAATTTGGTTACTCGTTGTTTGAGTTATATTCTGTACATTATATAGCTTACCTCATCAATTAATTTGGTTACTCGTTGTATAGTTATATACTGTACATTATATAGCTTGCCTCATCACTTAATTTGGTTTCTCGTTGTTTGGTTATATACTGTACATTATATAGCTTACCTCATCAATTAATTTGGTTTCTCGTTGTTTAGTTTTATACTGTACATTATATAGCTTACCCCATCACTTAAATTGGTTACTCGTTGTTTAGTTATATACTGTATATTATATAGCTTACCACATCAATTAATTTGGTTACTTGTTGTTTAGTTATATACTGTACATTATATAGATTACCCCATTACGTAATTTGGTTTCTCGTTGTTAGAGTTATATGCTGTACATTATATAGCTTACCTCATCAATTAATCTGGTTTCTCGTTGTTAGAGTTATATACGGTACATTATATACCTTACCTCATCAATTAATTTGGTTACTCATTGTTAGAGTTATATACTGTACATTATATAGCTTTCCCCATCACTTAATTTGGTTACTCGTTGTTTGGTTATATACTGTACATTATATACCTTACCTCATCAATTAATTTGGTTACTCGTTCTTAGAGTTATATACTGTACATTATATAGCCTACCTCATCACTTAATTTGGTTTCTCGTTGTTTGAGCTATATACTGTACATTATATAGCTTACCACACCAATTAATTTGGTCTCTCGTTGTTTAGTTATATACTGTACATTATATAGATTACCTCTTCACTTAATTTGGTTTCTCGTTGTTTGAGCTATATACTGTACATTATATAGCTTACCTTATCAATTACTTTGGTTTCTCGTTGTTAGAGTTATATACTGTACATAAGATAGCTTACCATATCAGATAATTTGGTTACTCGTTGTTTGAGTTATATTCTGTACATTATATAGCTTACCTCATCAATTAATTTGGTTTCTCGTTGATAGAGTTATATACTGTACATTATATAGCCTACCACATCAATTAATTTGGTTTCTCGTTGTTAGAGCTATATACTGTACATTATATAGCTTACCTTATCAATTACTTTGGTTTCTCGTTGTTAGAGTTATATACTGTACATAAGATAGCTTACCATATCAGCCAATTTGGTTACTCGTTGTTTGAGTTATATTCTGTACATTATATAGCTTACCTCATCAATTAATTTGGTTTCTCGTTGTTAGAATTATATACTGTACATTATATAGCTTACCACATCAATTAATTTGGTCTCTCGTTGTTAGAGTTATATACTGTACATAAGATAGCTTACCATATCAGATAATTTGGTTACTCGTTGTTTAGTTATATACTGTACATTATAAAGCTTACCACATCACTTAATTTGGTTACTCGTTGCTTAGTTATATACTGTACATTATATAACCTACCCCATCACTTAATTTGGTTTCTCGTTGTTAGAGTTATATACTGTACCTAAGATAGCTTACCATATCAGATAATTTGGTTACTCGTTGTTTGAGTTATATATTGTACATTATATAGCTTACCTCATCACTTAATTTGGTTACTCGTTGCTAAGTTATATACTGTACATTATATAACCTACCCCATCACTTAATTTTGTTACTCGTTGTTTAGTTATATACTGTACATTATATAGCTTACCCCATCACTTAATTTGGTTTCTCGTTGTTTGAGTTATATACTGTACATTATATAGCTTACCTCATCACTTAATTTGGTTACTCGTTGCTAAGTTATATACTGTACATTATATAACCTACCCCATCACCTAATTTGGTTACTCGTTGTTAGAGTTATATACTGTACATAAGATAGCTTACCACATCACTTAATTTGGTTACTCGTTGTTAGAGTTATATACTGTACATAAGATAGCTTACCACATCACTTAATTTAGTTACTCGTTGTTAGAGTTATATACTGTACATTATATACCTTACCTCATCACTTAATTTGGGTACTCGTTGTTTGAGTTATATACTGTACATTATATAGCTTTCCTCATCCCTTAATTTGGTTTCTCGTTGTTTGAGTTATATACTGTACATTAAATAGCTTACCTCATCAATTAATTTTGTTTCTCGTTGTTAGAGTTATATACGGTACATAAGATAGCTTACCATATCAGATAATTTGGTTACTCGTTGTTTAGTTATATACCGTACATTATATAGCTTACCTCATCACTTAATTTGGTTTCTCGTTGTTTGGTTATATACTGTACATTATATACCTTACCTCATCACTTAATTTGGTTACTCGTTGTTTGAGTTATATACTGTACATTATAAAATAGCTTTGTTTGCTGGTTGTTTTGAGATTATAGACGATACTAAAAACGTTCTTAATCCTTGTCGCCGAATTGCCCAGTCATATCATGAAACTTTTTTTCAAAATGGACATAAAATTATTGTTTTTATTTATGACTGCTACCAAAATCCATTCCGCGCCTGAATTTCTGTATATTTGCTGGTCTCGGATTATAAAACGTGAGTAATTTACATATATTTACCAGTCTTAGAAACTGGATTCCATTGCGGGTTTCTATGAATTTGGGCTTTCCTTTGACGATTCCCAATCAACGAGGATGGAGGATAATCTATGTTACAGAATAAGGAATTTAGCTGAAAGTTGATGATGTTTAGATCCGTCGACGACGTTACTTTAGTATAGATTAAACACTGAAAACAAGCATTTATCTTTTAATGCGTTTTTTAATCCAAAATTACTTAAGATGTTGTCCGAGAACCAGTGTTAGTTTTTTATGACTGCTTGTAGCTAAAAACAACCGCTGTTGTCCCGTACGATCTTAGCTGTCTTACAATTGATATTCGCTCTATACACAATACACAAATATGTCAATGCCAGATAATTTGTGGAGAAGAGTTTTCATATTGATCTGAGTAATACATACAGTTTAAGCATATGTTAAGTGTAGGAATCAAGTTATAATCCATAGATGTAAGTGTATGCACACTCGGCACGGGAGTATACCGAACCCCGTGTCACGGGCTGGAGTACTATTGACGAAACCCGACATCGCGCTAACTAGGAACAAAGAAGCCCCGCCATTTGTCAGGTCCAATCCACCATCAGCTGTGGCCAGATATTGCCCTCAAATGTTTACTTTTCGGTGTGAAATTTACAAAACAGCAAAACGTGGAAATTTAAAAACTACGATGGTCGCGTGCCAAAGACATTTCCCTAACCGAGAAAACCGCAACGAGGAATTGGATCATACTGAAAATTACAATAAATGAATATGACACAATTTATCAAATTTAAGTTGTTTTGTATCATCACGAGACTTGTGACAAACCCTGAAATATAAAATTTATGTAATGTGTCATTTGTTAATGACAATAATACATTTAGGACGCCTAATTAATGAGTGTAGTTACTGACGGTAATCCGGTCGGACGCTCGCTACCCCTGCCATCTGCGGAACCTTATGACTGAGATCTCTCTCATTGAGGGAACATCAACTCTCCAGCCCCTACACATGATGTGACGGGGTCAACCTCGGCCCTTTGTCGTCCCCTTCAGCTCCTTCAGACCGACAAAGAATCGTAATGGCCCTGTTAAAACGCCATTGTTCATCCATGAGAGATGCCCCTCCTCACCCCCATCTCGAGTCTGCGAGGGGGACACGAGCAGGCATTATAACAGTGAAACAGAGTTGAAGAATTCGGCAGTATGGGGAAGTGGTTGGTGAATGATGAACACCACGCTGTATTGTCACAGGACTACTGGCCTTTCAGACAGTGTAATCGCGTGTAGGCAAGTGCAATGCAGCAATGCATCCTAGTAGTTTAATTCACAATAAAACAGAAATATAGTGGACTGCATCATACCCAAGTAATTACAGTAATAACCGTCAAAACAGGCCTCGACACATATCATACAATAATTATTACCCGAGATTTGAGTTTAAATACTGACGTCACCTTCCTTGCCGTACTCGATCAGACCAGGTTATGGTGTATCTAATCCAACTATCCCTTTACAGTTTGTAAAAGGTATAAATTCCAAAACTGATATCTCCAAGAGCAGTTAAAGAAAACATCATTTCCCTTTTTATTATATAAAGAATACAATGTACGAAGATAGATAAAATGAGAATAATTTATCTATAGAAACGATTGCATCACATTGTGCCCTGCCCGCTCGGCCTGTTAATCACTCACTTTATGTGTGGGCTTGTGATTTAACTAGTGTTATTCGTGCCAATATTTCTCACCAAATAGGTGTTATACCTGTCCACATAAAGTGGGAAAAAAAATCTTGTCACTTACATTATTTCTACTAACCAGTGACTAAAAGAGTGTATACCTGATGTTTTTTTCCAAATCCAGAAATCGCGGTACATAATCGACAGTAATTGTTTCACAAATACACGACAAATATCACTCAATTGGCATTTTCATCGATAAAATCCTCTTTAGAAATAATTGGCCAATCAAAATACTCCTTTGTAGTAATTGGCCAATCAAAATCCACATTATCCGTTCTCGGCAGTCCTGATAGACCGTTAACATTTGCATATTGCAATTTCATTTGTCCTTCGCTTCGAGTGGGAGTAAACAAATGTGAATAGAACACGAGGAGTGTTCCGTCAAACACTACACCGTGTCGTGTCAATTTAGTAAGAAAAATATATCTGAAGTTTGTGTGAAATTTTCTAGGTGATTACACACATATGGCGTTTACTAGTGATATCGTATAGACGTGTACTACAATCGTTATCAGTATATTGTCACACTGTGTACGTAGTGGCACTCGCCTGGTTCCCTACATACGGCTAGTCCTTCCAAAATAGTCATCGTCTCTACTTAGTGGCCACACTCTGTGGAAACATATATCTCAACTCAAAAGGGCACACGTAATCCGTCTTCACGCCGACCTCTTGGAGGAAAACAACAGTGAAACTTACACGAGTGTCAGTCAGTCCTACACTAGACGGATACCTGCACGAGTCACAATCTGCCGTTCTACTGATTGTGGACAAGATTTTCACAGCTTTTATACCGAATCGCAATAATCGACATCTCACATCGGCCCGTGTCTGCTCGCCCATCCAAGATCGTGCTTAATCAAGCAAATTTAAGTTTTTCGTCGAATGGAGCTGGGCCCGTGTTTGCCTCACGAGATGGAGTGCTCTTGAATGTACAGTAAGAATAACAGACGAACGTGATATCGTATACATTTGGAACCGCCGTCTAATCACATCGGTCTCAGTTCGTGATATTCACACGGAATTTCAACACGGGAAAACTTTTCCTATATCCCTCAAAACTTTGCTGGTCATTGTATGAGATTAACAAAGTTCTTCCTATCTAGGAAAAACTAAGGGATCAGTTGAGCGAAGGATACGGCACGTTCTGCGGACGGAACAACAACATGATTAGCAACGGTAAGTTGGATTCTACACTTCCAGGTTAGTCCGGATTACTTGTCGCATACCTAACAGGTGCTTTCTCCCAGCAGCCGTGTTTTCACACGGGCACTTAACTTAAATTCAATAAGATAGATTAAAACTTACTTGGTTAATCTGCAATATCCGTACTTATTTTTGTCTATAAAACGGGACATGTAGTACATTTTTATGTTTATTTAGTGTGAATTTGATAAATCATCTTTAAAGTAAACATAAACATGACACATTTAACACCCGTTAACTTCTGAAGTATACTTATGCTTTAGTGGGTTTTAGGTCTAGTTTAACGTCTAATTTCAGAATTCATGAACACTTGATAAACTATAATAAATGTTTAAATATAAAATAAACCACAACAGTGACCGTTCATGTGTAGTAATATGTAAATAACCTTTATTTATTATTTAGAGTCCATTTAATAAGCCCATTCAAACAATGATGGTATGTATCCACTTAACGCTGGTTATAGGACGGGAGAATCATTTTACAATTTCATATGTTTTGTATGACTTTTGTTGTAATTCATGTTGTAATAATTGAATAAAATATTGTTTAAAATAAATTTAAAACTCAATGAACCTCCCACCGTCGACGAATGGTTGTATGTCTCGGCGCGAGACTTATCCTCTGAAACCTGAGACGACAATATCAGATTGTTTGTAGAATTAATTACTGCAGTAAACCAGTCTGACATTTTCAGGATATAGGGGATCACACAACACTAATTATGTAACGTTACTAGTTGATCGTATGTTAGAAGGAGTATTTCAGATAATTGATATGCTAAAACGAAATTTCTACAGATCCATGTATCACGATTTCTGTGTTTATACATGTAGTAAATTAGGATTAGGTCCAGTGCTATGTCCGAACTATACTACATCATCTGGGACACTTTAACTTTCTTTTAAAGTATCTTTTAAATTTATTGCAATTTATTCTATATTCTAGCAATTTTCAAACAATGCATATTTGATTATTTACCTCAAATCAAGAAATGGCATTTCTGCAAACTTTCTCAGCTTCAACCAATGACATGATTATGTTGGTTTACAAGATACAAGAGTTTTTTTTTTATTTATTTAACGTCGCATTTTAAAACAATAAACATTAGCACTGTAGTACTATTCTTGAGACAAACATTGGATTGGTATGTTTTACACAACTTCCAAGTTGTAGTATTATTTTTTTCCTACCGTAAAGTTCTCAGAGTAATCAGAAGATTATTTTTAATAGTAATTAACACTTTACAGAAAATAATATTCAGTACAGATCTTTTCATGATAACCTAAAAAACAGAACATTTAACTAGTTATAACTTTTATTTCGATATTTTAAATTATTATATTTTCACCTTTAATATGATACAATATCTCCCACTTTTCTTATGTAGCCTAATTTATAAAAAGTCGTGTTTATTTTGTTTATCTCTTAATATATTTATTCTATTTCCATCTTAGTATGCTTCTTTTACATTTGCATATCTATATAATCACCTGAAGATTATCTCCCATTGGAAGTATCGGGTAATATGTACTACAAAAGTATCACAAACTTCACAGTATAAATATAGAGAATTTTAATAAAGAATCTTATAGTGTAATGGTCAAGTGTGTGATGTACTATGTATTAAATATATCAAAAATGGTTTTAACCACTCTTTTACACGAAGCCCTATACCAGTGCGAGGGCGTGTTTGTGTCCGGAACTGGACATAAGCGGTCAGTGGTGTGTATTAGGAGTGTTTGAGTGGTGTGTATTACGGGTCTGGCATTGTGTCCGACACTGGACAGAAGCGGTCAGTGACGTGTATTACAGGTGGTGTTTTGACAGTGTATGCTGTGTAATTAATAAAGTGTGTATATATCAACCACTTCTCTCCCGGTGTTCGGACGAAACACATAGGTTTACATTAAGTTTGAAAATTGAAATAAAATAATTTTAAGAGAAAATTTTCTTCGAAATAAAAGTAAACACAAAAATATTTTTTTATTCGAGAAAGATTGGTCCATGAATAGCCTCTAATTGAGTCCGGTGATATATGTCCTGTGCACTTGTTTCCGTAATGAGTTAGTTTATAAACCCTTTAGCGGTCGCCTTATCGCCAAACCCCTTGGCGTCTAAGGTAACTTCCTTTGCAAGTTTAAAGTTTCTACGAGTTTTATCTTAATTGTATGAAAATTAAATTGCATTCTGGGGTAAAGTTCCGGTTCGTAACCGTCCAGTAATTTATCTTGTACTCACACCTGATTCTATGTAATATTTGAAATGGCGATTCAAGTCCAGAGAATTGAACAATAATATACCAGTGTTTTCCGCCATAAATACAGTTAAGAGACATACAGTTACATACACGACGCTTTTGGCTATACTGATTGGATTTATTACTACTTAAAGAGATAATTTTAACTTAAAACATTTTTTGTTATCAAATTGAAACAATCTAATCAAGTTTAACAAATGAATCAGAACAACTCATGTAAATAAACATCGATACTGGATTTGTATCGATTACACTAAGCATCATGTATATCATTCGTCAATCGTTATCAATCGAGAATTCCTAAACATATCTGTCACATTTGCCGTTTTTCGCCCGGAATATTGACGGGCTAGAACACAATGACACACGCTAGGGATTCTCTGTATTCTAACACCAGTTTATGTTGCCAAACATTGTGATGTCTATACCGGAGGTATGTCAACCATGTTGGATAGGAAACCCTGGATTGGTGTCAATCTGATGTGGATGTTAGTGAGTGAATGTCGATGACGATCTCTCCACATCTCCCCCGCCTGGGACACCTGCGAAACACACTAGCCACTCAGCCGTACATAGACGTACACATACCATACCTTATTCATAAAACTTAATTATTTTATTTTTCATGGTATTTTTCTTTGGGCGTCCAGCTTGGAGGATAACTAGGAGGGTTTTTCCTGGTTTTCTTTACCGTACAAAAAGGGCTGGCGGGACTATGTGTATCCCTTTCACGTGTAAATAGGTGTCGCTGCGGGCAGTCGCACCTGAGGAATTGCTACAGTACGCAACATACACACACCTGTAACATATCTTGTGAGAAGATTGGGTCACGCGTAAAAAGAAAGTTCGTAAACCTGATGTGTCCATATTACAAGTATATCAATATAGTTTATATATCTAAAACGAATGTCCATGCATAAAGTGATGAGATATGTAATTATGTTTTGATATATTTAAAACTCACACTTCTGTATACAATACTGTTTGTTAAACTTGAAACTCTGTAAAAATTACGACTTCGTATGTTAAACTTACAACTTTGACTGTTAAACCTACACGTCGGTATGCCGAATTAACTTACAACTTTGACTGTTAAACCTACACGTCTGTATGCCGAATTAACTTACAACTTTGACTGTTAAACACACTGACAAATCTCTGTTTCACACATGTCTTTTATAAATGTTGATATTATGTTTTGTAGTTTGTTTATCGTGTGTTGTACAGGACTCCCTGGTATTAGTACTTGGCCTGTGACATACATTTAGGTAGATAACTATGCTCTGTATATAGCACGCACTTCTGGAATTCAGCAATCTGCATTAGCTGATATTATACCTAATCTCAATGACATGGATCAATTTCACAAATTGCATGTATCGATTGAACCTCCGTTGTCCCTCCCACATATGTTTAATGGTCACCAATGATTGTAATGATAATCTTAGTCACCTGTCCAACCAATGTCAATGGTCAGTCTGTAACCAAAATTAAACAAATGAAAATAAATACATAAATAAACGAATACACTTTTTATACATTTTTATATTTTTATTTTTTTTGTAAAACAGACATAAAGATTCAATGGATGAGGTTTGACTTATAACATCATATTTTTAATTACATGTATACATAATTCACAGAATAAAAATCGTTGGTTGAAACTTTTCTATCCAATGTATTCAATATTAAGAGAACTATATATGGAAAGAAACACTTTTTTTTTTATGTAGAAAAATCTATCCTAGATTTGTTACTGAAATCGGAAGACGGTGTTATATTGACCGTCAAACAACTGTAACGGCCAGCAAAATTCCATCCACTACTGGAATCTTGACACTATCTGAATTTAAAAAAATGTTATTATGTAAGGCCTAATGTTATAAATTTAAACAAACGTATCAACTTTACAAACACGTACATTGAAAACAAAACCTGTGCATTTAATAATACATAGGATAATGTATTGTTTTTTACGATGTAAAGGTTATTTATATCATCATTCAGTTTGTCTGTGACTGTAAGCTATACTGTAAATTCGCTTCTCTTTACTTTGTTTTATAAATTAGCTGAAAATTAGATTAATAAATTTCTTTAAGACGAGGTGGTTGTTCTGACGGAATTGGTTTTCTAGCCGAATATATCATTAACTTGTTAAACATGAAATGGAAATACGAACTTAAAGTCTATTTAAAAATAAAAGTTGGATACAAAATACTTGATACCTATATGTTTATATAAGTGTTAATTCAATTCGATGTTTAAAAATAATTTATATAAGGGTATAGATTTTATCATTTTTAAAAAGTATTAAGTATTTTTTTTTTTTTTATATAAGGGTATAGATTTTATTATTTTTTAAAATGTATTAAGTAAATTTAAAAAGAATTTATATAAGGGTATAGATTTTATTATATTTAAAAATGTATTAAGTAATTTTTTATTTAAAACAGTCCAGAAAATTTATTTTTTGTCCTGATGTGAAGCCGATAACTGTTTGCGACTCTTGTGCTAAGAGGAAACTTAGAACACCACTGGCATGATTGTAACATTAACAGATCTATCTCGCAGTAAAATCTCGACATTATTAATATTTAAATGAATCAAAATACGTTTATTTATTTACCTATTGTTGCTTGGACAATTCCTCTCAGATAACAGTTTGGGAACGCACATCCTCCGTCGCTCTGTTTATTATGGAAAAATAACCATTGATGAAATTAATTCCGTTGAGCAGTAAGTAAGATGTGCCTGGAATACCATTATGTACGGGAGCCTACTTATACGGCTACTAGCATATTGAATATGAATGAGTTTGGATGATTTGAAATCAAAATGACGCGTGTCAAAATTGACAATATACGGAATATTTTAATCCACAAACGCACCTGTAACAGTGTTTATATATCGGGTGTATAGACCTGGTCAGAGGTGACGTAATGACGTAACCGTCTACTGAACACAATGGCGAGGTCAATCAGATGCACGGTCAGGTTCTGGCCTCTGACAGTCCGAAATTTCGACCCAGACTCTTGTGTTGGGAATAAGGGTCAATGCCCATGATATTAATGGCAAAACAACACTACTCGTTCCTATAAAATTTATTTTCAACAAATAATAAATAGATCAAATAATAAATAGATCAAATAATAAATAGATCAAATAATTTTAAATGATTTTTTTAACTGGTTAATCTTATGACCGTTGTGCTACTGATAATGGTGACTTCCCTGTTTTACCGTTAATCATGTACATGGTGAATAACATGATGTAGCTACCGCCCTGTTTCGCACTCCTTCCTCAGACTGGTAAACAGCTTCATATATTGAATTGTTTTTATCGGTGTGCTATTTTATGGGAAATATATATCAAATACTCAAATTACATGGGTTGAAAAAAACTAATATTTGCACTAAAGTGTAAAACATATTTGTCTTACAGGCACAAGTTTTTTAATCTCACTTGAGTACAAAAATTGTCATGATGTGGCAGCTTCATATATGAGTAGTTTATTTTCTGAATTGTAAAAAAATGCCTTTCAGTGCCTTTTAGTGGCTTTCAGTGCCTTTTAGTGTCTTTCAGTGCCTTTTAGTGGCTTTCAGTGCCTTTTAGTGGTTTTCAGTGCATTTCAGTGCCTTGTAGTGCTTTTCAATGCCTTGCCTTTTAGAATTTCAAAGCGGCTGGTCATGGTGCCAACCTGCACGAAAGTTTGTGTTTAAAAAAAGTATAAAAATATCTCCCTAAAATTTTGGTAATTCTTTTCGAGATAGACTAAATAGTAATACGAGTTATATTATCTGACAATCGTAGAAATGAGAGGCCGACACTTGCCACACCCAGTCGACCGTGTCCGTCTAATCCCAAGTAATGTCGACTGTATAGGAAGGCAGTGACGGAAAGCCGGGCAGTGACGGAAAGTCCGGGCAGTGACGGAAAGCCGGGCAGTGACGGAAAGCCCGGGCTGTGACGGAAAGCCCGGGCAGTGACGGAAAGCCGGTCAGTGACGGAAAGTCCGGGCAGTGACGGAAAGCCCGGGCTGTGACGAGCACGGGGCCTTTCCCCCTATATTCTCGTCCCTGCCAATCTCAAGTGAGCAATGGCCCCTTGTTGTTGAAACCCTTTAACACCCTCCTCGACATCATTGAATAGCCCTTCAAGTGGATTTAACAGCTAACCTTTCACTTATCCTCTTGATCTTGTATTAAATAAACTTATTCCGGACACCTTGAGGTCGGCGGCGGTCAAGTTTGCTCTGGTCATTCCTGGTGATCTTATAAATAAGAAAAGCTCTAGACAAAATCTATATACCCTGTAACAATACCCGTGTTTACCGATAGCTACAATTCTAAATAGCGCTCATTGTTGGTTAATCAAAAAGTGGCGGGACATCAAAGTGTTTGTTAGGTTTATTGTATACCTACGGTAGACTAAGCCAGTTATCGGTAAATATCGGTAAACAACGTCTACAGTTGAGACACTCTCATCCCTCCGGTCGGAAACCACACAAGGGTATCAGCCCATTGTTTGTATGATCTGAACAACACCTCGCACAATGGAGTATATCTACATCTTAGTTTATCAGAGAAATTTAGCGAGATGGTGCTGAGCTATCGGTAAATATCTTACAGTCAGATTGAATTTGATACCGACACCAATTTTTGGAATTTAAATATTTCCTATTGCGTTAACGTCCTAATGTTAGTGATCGGTTATTTATCCCTTTGTCGTGTTGGTTTGTTACGTGTAAACGTCATACAAGTTTACACACTTCATCCAAATCATATTTCCTTGCTATTCCCCGTAAAAGACAATGACGCTGATACTATATGCACGATAGAACGACGGTTTCCGTGTTTTGGTATTTTCGATTTGGCCCACAATAGCTGGACGGAAACAGCAAATCAGATATTCCCTTCAAGTTCCATTGCTATTTGCATTTAAATCAGTCCATTTACACGCATTGAGCTAAAAAATATAACCATTACGCCATGTTGTTCCCAAGTTGATGCTGTATTAGTTTATTGTTATTTTATATCCGAGACAGTGTATTTGTTTTCAATTAACAGATTTATAAAAAGAAACAAAAAAATTGTTACGAATATGAAATACAAATACCGGGAAATTAGAATCGATAGGTATTGTGCGACTAGACTTAATCCACTCAGGTCGGGGGATGAATATATAATGATATGCAAATGAGGGTAGCTCGCGGAGGGCGCGCGGCGTTTCCAGTCCATTTCCGCGATTCGACACACTTGCTGAGCGTAGAATTTTAAATGAGTTGCCGACGAAGATATCCTGTGAACTCCAAATTGGTTGACACGCATTCTAACGAGTCTAACCGAGAATCCCTCCCCCCACAACACAGTTACGACATCATAGCTTTCCCTCCAATCATCTACAATTTTTCACGGCTAATATTTTCTTAGCTGTTAACCTTCCACAGAGATAATTTTCCTTTTATCCAGGGACACAAAGGTTTTTCAATAAAGGATGAAGTTTTTGACCTTATGACATACAATGTATTTAAATTTATATTATAAATGGATCCAGAAATGATATTAACATAATTAACAGATAGACTATTATTAATGAGATATGCAGGAAACATTAAAACCTACAGATATATTATAATAATTATATAGGGTCTCAGGAAACAGAAAAACCGGAAACAGATATATTGTAATATTTATTTAGGGTCTCAGGAAACAGAAAAACCGGAAACAGATATATTGTAATAATTATAAAGGTCTCTGGTAATTGTCATATGAATTGGCCACGTTGACTTTTCTAGTACGTTATTTACAGTACTGTGACGTAAGTACAGACATTACTGTTGGAACTGTAACTTAGATAAACAGAATAACACACATAATTACAATCATGAGACAATTGTTTTCAAACTTATATATTAACTTCACTTATTGGCTCGGCTGGAAGCGTCCAGGGGTCTAAATGTGGGAGGAAACTGGAGTACCAGGAGTAAACCCATTGCATAGTTATCAAATAAAACTGAGCTCTTAAATATCTATTTGTCGTGAAAAACACGTTTGTATTTATTAAAACATTGTAAGAGCATTGCTTAAGGCTGATTATCTGATTTATTAGTGTATAAATCTTATTGTCTGACGTTTAGAATGAACAGTTAAATTCTTAAGTTAAGCCTTCTTTCTCGCGGCTTCAAAGTTTACTAACAATATTATCTTAGAATTTCTACAAACCCCGATGTCACGTGGCAGTAGCGACACCATACAGTTGTCCGATGGCCCTGGTCCTAGTCACGTGGCAGTAGCGACACCATACAGTTGTCCGATGGCGCCATGGTCCTAGTCACGTGGCAGTAGCGACACCATACAGTTGTCTCGGGAAAGCAATTGATATTCTAGTCAGGACAACACAATTTAAACAAGCGTTTATGAAACGCCGACTTAATAGGAAGAAATCTAAATTACAGATGAACTAGCATCGGCTTGCGAAACTGAAAAACCGGGATGAAGTAACATTGGATTGAAATACCGAAAAAACTGGGATGAACTAACATCGGCTTGTCATACTGCTGTGGGTTTGATGATTAGTTAAATGACACTGAAGGGGATTTTTTTATAAGAAGAGAAGAGCGATTTATTTGTTTTTCTACTAAACTCAACTGTATATTGTAAAAAGTATATTGACTTTTTTGAAATAAAATACGCCAATAAAATAACGCACTCTATATTTCTGCGAAAACGACACTTATGATTATATAAAATATTGTCTTTATTTAATTAAATCAGTGAGAGAAGGAGAAAATAACTGATATAATTGGTACGTAAAACCTGTCGAACGCCATTTAATCCTCTAACTGTCACTGGCACTGTTTGTTCAACAGATATCGGCCTTTTTACCTCTCTAATAAAAAACCCAAATCGGTCTCAAACGGGACGGGATGACTCACGGAAAATACACACCCTTCCGATGGAGATTAAACATTCAAATTATTCATATAAATAGACCCAGCCTTATAACTCATATTCACACTAGTTTGAAATGTGAAAGTATGGGATCTCAAATGTCGTACTCAACTGTTTGTTGAAGAATGTGTTTCAAGTGTAAACAATACTAGATATCGCTCACCAAGAACTATTTTAGTCGAACAATCGGCTGACAGGAGCTGTCCGCTTTTACCTATGTGTTTGTATTCTTTATTGGGGGTCGTTCTATGGGAGTCCCTGATCTACCCTGTGTCTACCCGGTGTCTACCCTGTTATTCCAATGAACACACAGTTTTCTGTCTATAACGTTACAGTGTCTGATCCTTGGGACATTGTCGTCATGTTATTGTGGTCGGGACACTTATGTAGCAGTCAATTTATTTTACCCACAGTTGCCGGAACATGAAGGACAAGTCTAAAACCGCCGCCCGGACCCGGAGGGAGAAGGAAAATGCGGAATTTTATGAGTTGGCGAAGATGTTGCCTCTGCCCTCCGCCATCACAAGTCAGCTGGATAAGGCGTCCATTATACGACTGTCTACAAGCTACCTCAAGATGCGGACAGTGTTCCCCGACGGTAAGTACCCCTTTCTAATACCCATGCATGTGTTCTTTATATACACTTTAAAACTTCGAGGAATACATCAAACCGGAAGTGAACACTGATGCACAACCCAGTTTTTTAACCGGAAGTCGTGTATCATGATGAAACGTGATGAAGTAACTCCATGGATGAGGTGGCTTACATGTGTTTTGGGCGAGCAGTCTAGTTTATAATGTTTTTTGTTATTCATATACACAGCTCGATCATTCAACCAGTAAAGGTATACTTTTTATTATGTTAAGAATCTGTGACCTAAAGATATAACTTTATATGATAATAACCGTAAACAATACCATGCTTCAAACTATTTCTCATGTACAAAAATCCCAGGCAGCAAGAGTTATACCAGCTGGTCATTCAAATTGACCACAACAAGTTGGTACCTAATAAGATAGGGACGACATTTGGCCCCGTCCCACGGCCCAGGGTCGGGCGCCGGTAACATTACAGAATAATACCCTGGACCAGTGGCGCTATCTGTTGTCATAGATGTGAATTAGATAGCCGTGAAATTAGTAGGCGATCACAACTAAGGTTAAAGGTTCCACTATAAAATGATTTTTTCAAACCAAAAGTGTCACTTAGTGGTAATTCACAAAAGTAAAGAAAATGTACCAGACATAGTGGTAATTCATGATGGTAACAACTGGGGGAAGGTTAAATATTAAAAAGAGTATTGTTATAGAATATTATAAAAGTAATGAAAAGCAAACATAACACGCACTCGACACTATTATAAATTATACCATCATGCCAATATTCCTTACAAAACATCGTTATTAGCCAATTGCCTTAATATCTGACAAATCATAATTTCTTATTATGCTTTTTTAGCGATAATAAATTACTACCATGTCTGATCCTTTACTTTACTATCGTAAATTACTACCATGTCTGATCCTTTACTTTACTATCGTAAATTACCACCATGTCTGATCCTTTACTTTACTATTATGAATTACCACCATGTCTGGTCCTTTACTTTACTATTATGAATTACCACCATGTCTGATCCTTTACTTTACTATTAAAAATGACCACCATGTCTGCTCCTTTACTTTACTATTATAAATTACCATCATGTCTGGTCCTTTACTTTACTATTATAAATTACCACCATGTCTGCTCCTTTACTTTACTATTATAAATTACCATCATGTCTGGTCCTTTACTTACTATTATGAATTACCACCATGTCTGATCCTTTACTTTACTATTATAAATTACTACCATGTCTGCTCCTTTACTTTACTATTATAAATTACCGTCATGTCTGCTCCTTTACTTTACTATTATAAATTACCACCATGTCTGATCCTTTACTTTACTATTATAAATTACCATCATGTCTGATCCTTTACTTTACTATTATAAATTACCATCATGTCTGGTCCTTTACTTTACTATTATAAATTACCATCATGTCTGATCCTTTACTTTACTATTATAAATTA